GGAATCCATAGGATGCCTCTGGATGCCTCTGGAACATGGCCATATATTCCGGAAAACTCACAGCAACCCAACTCTTAAAAATCTTAGTCCCTTTTGGGGTTGTCACTTGTTTGAAAGCAAAAAAGACAAAAAAAAGCCAATTAGCAAAGAATAAAATAACAAAGTTTTCCCCGTCTACCCATATTCTGGATGTGCAGCAAATGCCTCCCACTTACCCATCAGGCAGATGCACTGGGCAGTCTCTAAAGAGTGGCTGTTTGTATTTATTCTCCATACTTACTTACTTCCCACTGGTTCTTCAAGAGTCTGAAGCTGGGGTTGGGTCAGGATTCATCCCAGAGACTCAAGATGATCAGGCCAACGGGGACAGGGGCAGCGGTCTTTCTCTGATGCTGGCTTTGCCCAGAGCAAACCCCTTGGTGCCAGGCAGGCGAAGAGGCGCTGGACGAGGAGCCGGGCCCTGCGCACCAGTGCCTCCCAGCCTGAACAATGACGGCGCAGCTACAGGTGCTGGCTCTGCTACATTGTGCGCCCAAGGGATGCGAGGGGTGCCACACACACACACACACACACACACACACACACACACGGTGCTGTTCTGACACTGTGGCCTCTCCCTTGCCGGTCCCTGAATCCTCAGGCAACTCACTTTAGTTGGCTGCCCTAGCTAATCCAGGTAAAGAAATTTGAGCTGGTTTTTAAAATCTATTAAAATTCATCCAGTTAATTAATCAGTTTGCATCTGAGCCAGTTGCCGGAAGCCCAACCGCCCCATCAGCACCCTTGCTTGGCTTTTTGTTACAGATTTTGGAAGAAGGATCGTCCTTTGGAAGGCCCCCTTGTTCTCAGAAATTGCTGGAAGTATTGTCAAAGTCTTTCATGGCTGGAATCACTGGGTTGTTGAAGGTTTTTTGGGCTACATGGTCATATAGCCCGAAAAGCCTACAACATCCCATTGCTGGAAGTGTTTACTTTTTTAAACTGTGGTCTGTGCCAAAGAGGCCTTTGAAAAATAAAACTAAAGTACTGTGTTGTTGTAAGTTTTTTTTTTGAGCTATATGGCCATGTTCTAGAGCAGTGTTTCTCAACCTGGGGGTCGGGACCCCTGTGGGGGTCACAAGGGGATGTCATAGGGGTCGCCGAAGACCATCAGAAAATACAATATTTTCTGTTGATCATGGGGGTTCTGTGTGGAAAATTTGGCTTAGTTCTATCATTGGTGGGGTTCCGAATGCTCTTTGATTGCAGGTGAACTATAAATCCCAGCAGCTACAACTCCCAAATTTCAAAGTCTATTTTCCCCAAACTCCACCAGTGTTCACATTTGGGCGTATTGAGTATTCATGCCAAGTTTGCTCCTGATCCGTCATTGTTTGAGTCCACAGTGCTCTCAAGATGTAAACTACAACTCCCAAACGTAAGCTCAATGCCCACCAAACCTTTCTAGTATTTTCTGTTGGTCATGGGAGTTCTGTGTGCCAAGTATAGTTCAATTCCATCATTGGTGGAGTTCAGAAAGTTCTTTGATTGTAGGGTAAACTATAAATCCCAGCAACTACAACTCTCAAATGACAAAACAACCCCCACCCCACCCCCACCCCACCAGTATTCCAATTTGGGCATGTCGGTTATTTGTGCCAAACTTGGTCTAGTGAATGAAAATACATCCTGATATTTACATTATGATTAATAACAGTAGCAAAATTACCGTTATGAAGTAACAACGAAAATAATTTTATGGCTGGGGGTCGCCACAACATGAGGAACTGTATTAAGGGGTCACAGCATTAGGAAGGTTGAGAACCACTGTTCTAGAGGCATTCTCTCCTGACGTTTTGCCTGCATCTATGGCAAGCATCCTCAGAGGTAGTGAGACCCTGGTGAAGTGAGTTGGACTGGATGGTCTTAAGTATTTTCTGTTGGTCATGGGGGTTCTGTGAGGGAACCCCCAGGGAACCTCCTGGGATTCAGAATGCTCTTTGATTGTAGATGAACTATTAATCCCAGTAACTACAACTCCCAAATGTCAACGTCTATTTCTCCCAAACTCCATCTGTGATCATATTTGGGCATATGGAATATTCGTGCCAAGTTTGGTCCAGATCCATCATTGTTTGAGTCCACAGTGCTCTCTGGATGTAGGTGAACTACAACTCCCAAACTCAAGGTCAACACAATGAAGGGAGGGGTCCCTGCCTCCCAGGGTTGGTATGCATTGGCAAACAGCTGGATGGAAGACTCATCCACAACTCCCAGATATCTTTAGTATAGTGTCTATACGCAGTCAATGCCCACTAATCCCTTCTAGTGTTTCTGTTGGTCATGGGAGTCCTGCATGCCATGTTTGGGTCAATTCCATCATTGGTGGAGTTCAGAGTGCTCTTGGATTGTAGGTGGACTATAAATCCCAACAACTACAACTCCCAAATGACAAAATCATTTTTTTTTGAGTGAGAGTCACTCCTTGGGTTAGCAAATTTATTTATTTATTATTTACAGCATTTAAATAAATTTACTAACCCAAGGAGTGACTCTCACTCAAATGTCTTGTGGCCAAATTTGGAATTCACCCAGTTGTTTTTGAGTTATGTCAATCCCACAAACGAACATTACATTTTTATTTATATAGATCTGAACATGCCAAGGTTCTTCATGTGCCCCCAGCTGAACATCAACATTGCAGAATGGCCGGAGGGGGGGGGGGCGAATCCTGACGAAGACTTCCAGAGCACCAGCCAAGTCCTGGGACTTGCCAGGAAAGGGGGAGTGGAACCTGCTGAGGCCCCTTGATTCAGCCTCCCCCCCTTCCCTCATGCCAAATGCTGCAACCAATGCCAAATGCTGCAACTGCGTATAGACACTATACTAAAGATATCTGGGAGTTGTGGATGAGTCTTCCATCCAGCTGTTTGCCAATGCATACCAACCCTGGGAGGCAGGGGCCCCTCTCTTCATTGTGTTGACATCAATGGCTATTTGGAAAGCCAGATGTGCCTTATACACACAGACACATATCTCAGGGCAGATGGAGTCCACTTTTACTGCTACAGTGTCCATCTAGTGCGGCTTCCTTGGCCCAGTGTCTCAGATCTTTCTGTTGGGTTTCATCCCTGGACTACACTAGTGTCTTGTTCATCAAGTTTCCAGTCCTCAATGAGTAGCTAGACTGGAGATAGGATTAGGCTGAGGCACCTCCCCCCACATTCCTATGCATGTTTCCCAAAAGGGTTTTGTCTGTAATAATAATAATAACAATAACAATAATAATAATCTTTATTTATACCCTGCCACCATCTCCCCAATGGGGACTCGGAGTGACTTACATGGGGCCAAGCCCGGACAACATAGTACTCTTCCTCCTTGCTACCATTTCCTCCACTTTGATGATGTACGAATGGAATTCTGTGGGGGAACTTTATTGCCCTGAGCTGGCCATGTGGCCATTCGCCATTTCTCCTTTCTCTTCTGCTTTTCTTTCTACCTATGACCAGGCCCAGCTTACTTGTCCAAACACATTTGCCTCTACGTCCCACCTCGTAACTTAAGATAATCCGGGGAGGCCCTGCTCTCGCTCCCGCCAACATCGCAAATGCGGCTGGCGGGGATGAGAGACAGGGCCTTCTCGGCTGTAGCCCCCCAATTGTGGAATGCGCTTCCAAATGAAATACAATCGACCCCATCCCTCCTGGCGTTCAGGAAGAAATTAAAATCTTGTTTTTGGGACCAGGCTTTAGGACAATAAACATAAAGCAGCACTTTGACTGGAAATGGATTGGCAAGATCATTGACCATTTCCGCTACCTTGGCAGCCACCTCTCCACCAAAGTCAACATCGATACCGAAATACAACACCGCCTGAGCTCTGCGAGTGCAGCATTTTCCCGAATGAAGCAGAGAGTGTTTGAGGACTGGGACATCCGTAGGGATACCAAGGTGCTTGTCTATAAAGCTATTGTCCTCCCAACCCTGCTCTATGCCTGCGAAACGTGGACTGTCTACAGATGTCACATGCAACTCCTGGAACGATTCCATCAGCGCTGCCTCTGGAAAATCCTGCAAATATCTTGGGAAGACAAGCGGACAAATGTCAGCGTGCTGGAAGAAGCAAAGACCACCAGCATTGAAGCAATGGTCCTCTGCCATCAACTCCGCTGGACCAGCCACATTGTCCGGATGCCTGACCCAAAGCAGTTGCTCTACTCTGAACTTAAGAACGGAAAACGGAATGTTGGTGGACAGGAAAAGAGATTTAAAGATGGCCTCAAAGCCAACCTTAAAAACTCTGGCATAGACACTGAGAACTGGGAAGCCCTGGCCCTTGAGCGCTCCAGCTGGAGGTCAGCTGTGACCAGCAGTGCTGCAGAATTCGAGGAGGCACGAGTGGAGGGTGAAAGAGAGAAACATGCCAGGCGGAAGGCGCGTCAAGCCAACCCCGACTGGGACCACCTTCCACCTAGAAACCAATGCCCTCACTGCGGAAGAAGATGCAGAGCAAGAATAGGGCTCCACAGCCACCTACAAACCCACAAAAATAGTCATCAAGGAAGACCATCTTACTCGTCCAATGAGAGATCGCCTAAGTAAGTAAAAGTAAGTAAGTATGTATGAGGATATGGTTTTATTGTTCTATCAGTGGGTTTGTGGACTGAGTATTGTTTTAATGACTTATGATAATTTGGTTATAATGAATTGCAGTATGTATTAATAGTTTTATACTATCGAATTGCTGCCTTTGTTAGTCGCTCTGAGTCCACCCCCCCCCCGGGGGGGGGGGGGGGTTTGAGAAGGGCAGGGTAAAAATGCTGTAAATAAATAATAAATAAATATGAGGATGCACATTTTGCCTCTCTCTAGGCAAAATGTAGCATCATGGACTTTTTATCTATTTAAAAGATGAGATTTAATAAGCTAGTTAACGCCAAGACCTTTTCTATCAAAAAATATATTACTTTTACTGCAATAAATAATTTTGAACCTAAAGTTCTGACTCTGCAATCCTGTGCCGTCCTAAGGAATAGAAGTTTATTCCAACTCATCACATGTAAGTTTCTGCTGGTTATGAAGTTTACTTCTGGTACTCTGCTATATTTATGGTGGAATCACCCCAAGTGAGGGTTATTTTTGAGCCTAACAGCTCAGATTCCCTAAAAGATACCAATGACAAATGCTGCAGCTGCGCATGGATGTTATACTAAGGGTACCTGGGAGTTGTGGATGAGTCTTCCATCCAGCTGTTTGCAATGCACGCCAACCCCTCCCTTCATTGTGTCGACATCAATGGCTGTTTGGAAAGCCATATGCACCTTATACACACACACATATATTTCCAGGTAGGTGGAGTCCACTTGTACTGTTACAGTGTCCATCCAATGATACTTCCTTGGTAAAAAGTCTCAGAAGATCTTTCCATCATACAAGACCAGCTAGGACCCAGAGGTGACCCTAGGTAGTTTTCAACGGTAAGCAAACAGTATTTTGGCACCCTCACCCCAACCAATCACTGATATATATTTTCTGTTCGTCGTGGGAGTTCTGTGTGCCATATTTGGTTCAATTCCATCATTGGTGGAGTTCAGAATGCTCTTTGATTATAGATGAACTATACATCCCAGTAACTACAAATCAGATATGTCAAGGTCTATTTTCCCCCAAGAGTGCCTCAAGAGCACCCCTGGGCAAAATCAACTATACTGCAAATGCTTACTTTGCGTAATGGGTTGAGCCGCCCCTGCTAGGACCCCTGCCCCTTATGCAGCCATCCTACAACTGGGGCAAAAGGTCATCGTCGCTACCATGGGATGAAGCACCTCTGGGCATTTCCCAGCCACTTATAGAATCATAGAGTTGGAAGAGACCTCATGGGCCATTCAGTCCAACCCCCTGCCAAGAAGCAGGACAATTGCATTCAAAGCATCCCCAACAGATGGCTATCCAGCCTCTGTTGAAAAGCCTCCACCAGACTGAGTCCCAGCCAGTATTCTCCTCCTCCTCCTGCCCTCTGGGCTGTAGTTGTCTTGCTTCTCTTCTCACTTTCTGTCCTTTTAGGGCCACTGGAAACCGCCATCTCCCAAAACATCCAGGCAACAGGTAGGTGAGTGGACTAAAGGAAGAAGCTGCAGGGACAGTGGCGAGGAGGCCTCCGCATCTTCACCTACGAAGCCAGAGCCAGGCGTTGAGGATGCAGGCCGAAGCCAGGATCGAGTAGAAGAGCAGCTCCTTCTGGCGCCAGCCCAGGCTTTGCCTCTCCAGCACCCGGAGCCGCCCTGAGATGTTCATCAGCTGCATTTCGGAGAAGGAAAGGGGGATCAGTGCCTACACCCCAGGGATGACCCAACAGTCCCCAATGGGCCCCTCCCAAGATCAGAGGGAGAGCAGGCCCCCACAGAAGGAAGGAAGGAAGGAAGAGGGAGAGGAGAGGGAGGGAAGGAGGGAGGGAGGGAGGGAGGAGGAAGGGAAAGGAAGGAAGGAAGGAGGGAGGGAGAGGGAGGGGAGGAGGAGGGAAGGAGGAGGGAGGAAGGGGAGGAGGAAGAGGGAGGGAGGAAGAGGAGGGAGGGAGGGAGGGAGGAAGGAGGGAGGGAAGGAGGAAGGAAAGAAGGAGGAGAGAGGGAGGGAGGGAGGAGGGAGGGAGGGAGGGAAGGAAGGAAGGAAGGAAGGAAGGAAGGAAGGAAGGAAGGAAGGAAGGAAGGAAGGAAGGAAGGAAGGAAGGAGTCAAAGCCAGGAGGTTGGGCGAACACTTGGGTACCTGCTTCCGGACAGCCAGGGCATCTGTGGGGCCAAACTCCTCCAGGACTAGGCTCACCTCCCGGGGACTAAGGAGTGGAAAAAGGCAGGTGGGGTCTATCATCCCTACTGCATGTCAGGGGCTGTAGGGCCACCTCCCTTCACACACCAAGCACTTTGTGTGCCATGAAAGCTATTCCTGCGCCACAGAGCAAGCTTCTTGGAAAGTGGCCCGGTCCCTGTTACAAAGCTGCTCCCCACATCCAGGTGATGTAACTGCACAAACCCCACCAGGAGCTTAGGGAGGAGGCTGGAGGGAGAGGCACATGGAAGGACTGTTGCCCCCAAAGTCATCCTCCCCTCTGCCTGAGGTGCTGAGAGACTATCACCAGACCAGGGATCAAAACCCAGAGAGGAGCAGCGACAGGGACAGGGGTCGAATGAGAGAGGGGTGAGGCCAGTACCTTTCAGCTGCTGGGGAACAGGCTTGGGTCCAGCCTGCAAGGCACACTGACACAACCAATCCCCTTACTCCCCGGCAGCAGCCTCAGCCCCCTACCAAGAAAGCAAGGCGAGTAGGAAGACTTTGGGACATCCCTGGACTTCTTACCAATCTTTCCTGGGCCCAACAGCCACCTCCGAGGAGGGCCCCGCCTTGTCCTTCCGACCCCGGTGACCCTGTTAGGAGCAAAAGGTCAAGGGGTCAGTCACCCCCAAAAACTGGAAGGCCTCTCCAGCAGCACCTGAAAATATGAGCCCTCCTCCCCGTTCGGAATCCTAGAATTGGAAGAGACCCCAAAGAGGGCCGTGTAGCCCAACCCAATTCTTTCTGCCAGGCAGGGAAAGCACCACCCAAGCCCCCCAGACAAGTGGCCATCCGGCCTCTGTTTCAAAGCCTTCAAGGAAAGACTCAGAGGCAGAGAGTTCCACTGTTGAACAGCTCTTCTTCTCACAGTCAGGAAGTTCTTCCTCCTGTTCAGGTAGAATCTCCTTCAACACCATTTGAACCCAGGCCAAACTAAGCCTAGGCCTGAGGCGCAGGAGGAGTACCGGGCGCAGGCGCTTCTGGGCCCAGGGCAGGAAGCCCAGGGTAAGGGGCTCTAGCAGGGGTCGCTCCACCTCAGACAGACACCAGGGATGCTGCGGCCGGGCACCAAAGAGAGGCCTGGAGGCCACGATGTCCAGCATTTCTGCAAAAAATGAAGAGAAAAACAAGGAGGGAAGGAGGAAGGAAGGGCCTCCATCCCTCTATCGGGATAGCAACTGTGCATGCTCAGTGGTAAAACAGATCCCTTTTTTTACATCCCCAGAAGCTCACAGCACATTCTCCCTAAGTCAGGTGAGCACTCTTTGTGGTACTTTTGGGGAGGGAATCTGCACCCAGAATCATAGAATCATAGAAATCATAGAATCAAAGAGTTGGAAGAGACCTCATGGGCCATCCAGTCCCACCCCATTCTGCCAAGAAGCAGGAATATTGCATTCAAATCACCCCTGACAGATGGCCATCCAGCCTCTGTTTAAAAGCTTCCAAAGAAGAAGCCTCCACCACACTCCGGGGCAGAGAGTTCCACTGCTGAACGGCTCTCACAGTCAGGAAGTTCTTCCTCATGTTCAGATGGAATCTCTCTTGTAGTTTGAAGCCATTGTTCCGTGTCCTAGTCTCCAAGGAAGCAGAAAACAAGCTTGCTCCCTCCTCCCTGTGGCTTCCTCTCACATATTTATACATGGCTATCATATCTCCTCTCAGCCTTCTCTTCTTCAGGCTAAACATGCCCAGCTCCTTAAGCTTCTCCTCAAATCTGGCTACCAGTATTAAAAAAACTCTAAAATTACTACAGCAAAACAGCAGAGAGGAAACAACCAGGCACATCTTAACACCTCTCAACAGAACATTTTCCCAGGCTCAGCCAAGCCTTCAAATGCTAATGAAGGTGATCAGCTGAAACATTCACACCTAGCTTCAGCAGAGAGCTCTTTGCCCCACCCCAGTCATTCCACAGATATATAAACCCATTTTCCTATTTCCAACAGACCTCACTACCTCTGAGGATGCTTGCCATAGATGCAGGCGAAACGTCAGGAGAAATGCCTCTGGAACATGGCCCTATAGCCCAAAAAACCTACAAGAACCTAGTGATTCCAGCCATGAAAGCCTTCGACAATACATTGAACATTTAATGACCTTACAGCTGGCTGGCTGGTTACTGCCTGGGTTTTTTTAATACTGAGAGCCAGATTGTATTCACTTTCTGCTTGACTTGAGGCAAGTGTGAATGTTGCGAATGGCCACTCTGATTAACATTTACTGGCCTTACAGCTTCAAAGCCTGACTGGTTACTGCCTGGTTTTTTTAATACTGAGAGCCAGATTGTATTCACTTTCTGGTTGAGGCAACTGTGAATGTTACGAATGGTAACTTTGATTAACATTTAATGGCCTTGCAGCTTCAAAGCCTGCCTGGTTTTTTTAATACTGAGAGCCAGATTGTGTTTGCTTTCTGCTTGAGGCAACTGTGAATGTTGCGAATGGCCACTTTGATTAACATTTAATGGCCTTGCAGCTTCAAAGCCTGCCTGGGGTTTTTTTTTAATACTGAGAGCCAGATTTGTGTTAACTTTCTGCTTGAGGCAAGTGTGAATATAATAATAATAATAATAATAATAATAATAATAACAACAACAACAACAACAACAATAATTGGTGTGGCTTACATGAGGCCAAGCCCAGAATACATCAATAAGCAAAACATCAATAAAACAATCAATACAATACAATACAAATCATATAAATCACATGAACAAAAAATAAGCAATAAACAATCAACAGTGACATATAAACATTTAAAACCAATGGCCGGGCCAAATGTAATAGGTTAAAATTAAAAATAATGCTGACGTGAAACATAGGAATACGGAATAATGGATGATGAGACTGAATTCTGATTTTACTGTTGAGGCGCTAATGATTGTTATACGGATATTTAATGATTTATGTTACAATTGTTTTTAATTGCCCTATACTTGTCTCGTGATGTTTTGTATTGATATTGTTCACCACTTTGAGTCACCTGAGGGCTGAGAAAAGCGGTATCGCAGTTTGGGAGTTCTCCTAGATTCATCGCTGAGCCTGGAGCCCCAGGTTTCGGAGGTGGTCAGGGGAGCTTTTGCACAATTAAAACTTGTGCACCAGCTGCGCCTGTACCTTGGGAAGTCTGACTTGGCCACGGTGGTCCCGCTTTGGTTACATCCCGTTTAGATTACTGCAACGCTCTCTACGTGGGGTTGCCTCTGAAGTCCAACACTCGGCAGCCAGACTACTAACGGGTGCTGGGTACAGGGAGCACACCACTCCGCTGTTACACCAGCTCCACTAGCTGCCAATTAGCTTCCGAGCACAATTCAAAGTGCTGGTGTTAACCTATAAAGCCCTAAACGACTCCGGCCCTGTTTACCTCTCCGAATGTATTCTCCCCTATGAACCATCAAGATTATTAAGATCGTCTGGAGAGGCCCTGCTCTCGGTCCCACCGGCCTCACAAGCGCGTCTGGTGGGGACGAGGGACAGGGCCTTCTCGGTGGTGGCCCCTCGACTCTGGAACTCCCTTCCACTGGAGATCAGAACTGCCCCTTTGATCTTAACGTTCAGGAAACAGGTGAAAACCTGGCTTTGGGGATTGGCATTCAATGAATGAGCCATGATCCTGTGATATGGATGGATGACGACGAATAATGACTTTGATGATGACTGACCACTGTAATCATATGATTGTATTTTTGCCATTTTAATTGTTTCAATGTTGTAATATCTCCCACTGGAGATCAGAACCGCCCCGTCTATCCTGACATTTAGGAAACAGGTGAAGACTTGGTTATGGAGACAGGCATTCGACGAGTGAGCCAACACCCTGAGATGTGGATGGAGGATGATGAGCAACGATTTTAGTGTGACGACTGACCATTATAGTTATTGATTGTAATTGCTGTTTTAATGTTTTACTGTAATATGTATGTGATATTATGGTTGGAAACCGGTCTGAGTCCCTCAAGAGAGGTGAGAAGGCCGGTATACAAAACTTCTACCGCCTTGGTCACCTCTAGATTGGACTACTGTAATGTGCTCTATGTGGGGCTGCCCTTGAAAACAGCTCGGAAATTTCAACTGGTCCAACGGGCAGCGGCCAGGATGTTAACTGGGGCCCCTTACAGAGAGAGGTCAACCCTCCTGTTCAAGGAGCTCCACTGGCTGCCGTTTATTTTCCGAGCCCAATTTAAGGTGCAGGTGCTTACCTACAAAGCCCTGAACGGTTTGGGACCCCTACCTGCGTGACCGCATCTCCATTTACGAACCCACACGTTCACTTCGTTCATCTGGAGAGGCCCTGCTCGTGATCCCGCCTGCGTCACAAGCGCGTTTGGTGGGGACACGAGACAGGGCCTTTTCTGTGGTGGCCCCCCGACTCTGGAACTCCCTCCCCAAAGATCTTAGACAGGCCCCTACATTGGCAGTCTTTAGAAAGAACTTGGAGACCTGGCTGGTCCGATGTGCTTTCCCAGAATAGGAAATCTCCAATACCAAGTCCCAGAAGCACTTTATTAGAACTAAGATTGCCGCACACTGCACACTGCACTTACCCTATAATCCTTATATACCACCTGTCACATCAGCACTTTTAATTCTGTACCCATTACTCTGGCCCGGCTCAGTTTTACTGTGTCTTGGTGTATTGTTTATTGTTTGTTGTTTAATATTGCTTTAATTGTTTTTAATTTGCTTTAGGTTTTGTATTGTTATGTTGTGTTTTGAGGCCTTGGCCTTTGTAAGCCTTTGTAAGCCGCATCGAGTCCTTTGGGAGATGCTAGCGGGGTACAAATAAAGTTAATAATAAATAAATAAATAAAAGCGGTATATAAATAAAGTAAATCCAATAAATAAATAAAGTATTGTCGAAGGCTTTCATGGCTGGAACCAGCCTGGATACAGCATTTTATTTGAGAACACAGAAATGCTGGACCACTCCAACAACCACCATGTCAGACTACACAGAGAAGCCATTGAAATCCACAAGCATGTGGACAATTTCAACAGAAAGGAGGAGACCATGAAAATGAACAAAATCTGGCTACCAGTATAAAAAACTCTAAAATTACAACAGCAAAACAGCAGAGAGGAAACAACCAGGCACATCTTAACACCTCTCAACAAAAGATTTTCCCAGGCTCAGCCAGGCCTTCAAATGCTAATGAAGGTGGTCATTGAAACATTCACACCTAGCTCCAGCAGAGAAGAGCTCTTTGCCCCACCCCAGCCATTCCACAGATATATAAACCCATTGTCCTAATTCCAACAGACCTCACTACCTCTGAGGATGCTTGCCATAGATGCAGGCGAAACGTCAGGAGAAATGCCTCTAGAACATGGCCCTATAGCCCGAAAAAACCCACTAGAACCAAATAAATTGTTGTTGTTGTTCATTCGTTCAGTCGTCTCCGACTCTTCGTGACCTCATGGAGCCCACGCCAGAGCTCCCTGTCGGCCGTCACCACCCCCAGCTCCTTCAAGGTCAGTCCAGTCACTTCAAGGATGCCATCCATCCATCTTGCCCTTGGTCGGCCCCTCTTCCTTTTGCCTTCTACTTTCCCCAGCATAATTGTCTTCTCTAGGCTTTGCTGTCTCCTCATGATGTGGCCAAAGTACTTCAACTTTGTCTCTAGTATCCTTCCCTCCAATGAGCAGCCGGGCTTTATTTCCTGGAGGATGGACTGGTTGGATCTTCTCGCAGTCCAAGGCACCCTCAGAACTTTCCTCCAGCACCACAGTTCAAAAGCATCTATCTTCCTTCGCTCAGCCTTCCCAAATATGATACGAGATGGCCACTTTGATTGACATGTAATGGCCTTGCAGTTTCAAGGCCTGGCTGCTTACTGCCTGGGGGAATTCCCTTTGCCTTACTGAGATGTGATGTGATGCACAAGCTGTGAGCAAACACCCGCGTCCCTTTCTCCTTTGAGTTTGGTAAAGTCTTATGAGAGAAGGGGAATCTGGGCTTGATCGGGACCACTTTCTCCCTTGATGCTCCCCAACCTCCTCTTCTTTTTTGGGGGGGGGGGGCTGCCCCCCTCCCTCTCTCCCTGACCCCACCCTTACCTGCAAGGCAGAGCCGCTCGGGGATATACATCCGGAAAGAAGGGGGCAGGGCCTCTTCCGGGGTGGCCTCCTCCTCCTCGGGGCCCGGGGCCCTCAGGCGGGGAGGGACCCGCATCCGGTGGCTTATGGCCTCCGTGAAGCTCGCATCGTAGGGAGAGGCTCCTTCCACCGGGACTGGGACCCACATTCGGAGGGGAAGGGAGAGAGGGTCTTCTTCGCCTAAAGGGCCAGAGAAGCAGCAGAAGTCAAGCGCGACCCTCCCTCTCCGCCCCGCTTAACTACCCCCCCCCCTCTTTTCTTGCCTTTTGGGAAGTTTTGGAGCACCTGTCTCCCCTCTTCAGCTGTCCTCCGCCGGTGACGTCAGCAGAGCCGGACCGCGCCGCCATTGGCTAATAGCCGCCACGCCCCCGCGCCCTGGGAGGCCGGAACAGCCACAGGGATGGACCCATAGGCAGAGGTGGCCCTAGGCAATTTTCAACGGTAAGCAAACAGTATTTTGGCGCCCCCCCCCCCCCCACCAATCACTGATATATATTTTCTGTTCGTCGTGGGAGTTCTGTGTGCCATATTTGGTTCAATTCCATCATTGGTGGAGTTCAGAATGCTCTTTGATTGTAGGTGAACTATACATCCCAGTAACTACAACTCACATATGTCAAGGTCTATTTTCCCCCATAGCACCTCAAGAGCGCCCCTGGGCAAAATCAACTATACTGCAAATGCAGAGACAGCTCTAGGTAATTTTCAATGGTAAGCAAACAGTATTTGGTTCAATTCCATCATTGGTGGAGTTCAGAATGCTCTTTGATTGTAGGTGAACTATACATCCCAGTAACTACACTTGCCGCATTTGCTCCCTTGCCTGGCCCACTTTGGGTCCGGAGGCGTGCCTGAAGACCCCGGCGTGTGCACCAAAAGTCACCTCTTCTCCTGACTTTCTCCTCAGCCATTGGGACCAAGAGAGAGAGAGAGAGAGAGGTGGAGATGCCCACCTTTCCTGAAAGTAGGCGCAAAAACAAAGGAGGGAGCGGAGGTGGGAGATACCTCCAGCCAGAGGGGCTCCGCCCCTTGGTCCACCCGCAGATTGGGGAGAGGAGAGGAGGCGGGTGGAGCGCCAGGGGATTGGGAAAGGGAGCCGGTCATGGGGAAGGGATCGAACGCGGAGAACGATTGAGTGCCAGCTCTGCTCACACACCCGGTGGCCGGGTGGAGCAGGAACAAGAGGGGCTAGGCGAGGCTCAAGGGCCCGGCCCCTTTGGGAAGAGGATCGTCTGGCAGCGAGGCAAGAAAGCCAAGGCTCCCTTTTTTTGATCGCCCGGCAGCGAGGCAAGAAAGCCGAGGCCCCCCCCCCCCGGACTGCTAGGGCTGTTGTGAGCTGAGGGGGCGCTCCTCAAGTGGTGGCCGAGGGGCATTTACAGAGGCGCCTCTGCGCCCCTGGCAAATAAAAGTGTTCTGCGACCGCTTACTTCGCGTAATGGACGAGCCGCCCCTGCCCCCACCCCAACCAATCACTGATATATATATTTTCTGTTCGTCGTGGGAGTTCTGTGTGCTATATTTGGTTCAATTCCATCATTGGTGGAGTTCAGAGAGCTCTTTCATTGTAGGTGAACTATACATCCCAGTAACTACAACTCATATATGTCAAGGTCTATTTTCCCCCCAGAGCACCTCTAGAGCGCCCCTGGGCAAAATCAACTATACTGTAAATGGTTGTTGTAGGTTTTTCCGGGCTATATGGCCATGTTCTGGAGGCAATTTTTCTCCTGACGTTTCGCCTGCATCTATGGTAAGCATCCTCAGAGGTAGTGAGGTCAGTTGGAAGTAGGAAAAATGGGTTTATATACCTCACAACCACTCTCACAACCACCATGTCAGACTACACAGAGAAGCCATTGAAATCCACAAGCATGTGGACAATTTCAACAGAAAGGAGGAAACCATGAAGATGAACAAAATCTGGCTACCAGTATTAAAAAACTCAAAAATTACAACAGCAAAACAACAGAGGGGAAACAAACAGGCACATAAAATCACTCTCAACAAGAGATTCCCCCCAGGCACTTCCAGGCCATTGAATGCAAATCAAGGTGATCAGCTGAAACATTATCCTGGTCATTCCACAGATATATAAACCCATTTTTCCTACTTCCAACAGACCTCACTACCTCTGAGGATGCTTGCCATAGATGCAGGCGAAACGTCAGGAGAAAAATTGCCTCCAGAACTTGGCCATATAGCCCGGAAAAACCTACAACAACCCAGTGATCCCGGCCATGAAAGCCTTCGACAATACATTATACTGTAAATGCTTACTTTGCATAATGGGTTGAGCTGCCCCTGCCCATAGGTACACCTTCAGTCCTCTCCTCCCTCCGGAAGAGCTCCGCCGGTGGATGGTTATTTATTTCGTATCAAAAGCATTGCATAAATTAGTAGAAAACCGATAAAAATATTGGCTAAATATCTTTTGACCCAAAACGGGCAACAGCAATGACATTGTCGGTAGCCTCTGTACATGAAGCATAGCGGACAAGCATACAGATGCGGAGTTGTGTGTTCTGCTCCACAGTCACACAAGGTATGGGATTCTTTTAGGTCATGCCATTTTGCCAGGTTGTCTTTTGATCTGCCCACTCTGCTTCTGAGTCTGTTCAAGGACTTCCAGGTTGCCCATTCTTGGTTTGCCCTGGAGGAAGACCCTCATGGGGGCCATCCAGTTGGGATTTCCTGGTTTAGCTGCCCAGAGGGATACCCTTGCTGTTGCTGGGGGGATGCCAAGAGGAGTGATAGTTCTCATGAAGCTTTTCCTTGATTTGAGTCTATTGGGAGGAGGCTGGTAGCCATGTAGTGGGTGGCTTTCACAGTGCTCAACCTTATTTCTCTCACATTTAGCAGTAACTTTCCATCACACATCAGGGGGGCAATGCCAGCTATCTTGCAGAGTTTATCAACAGGTGTAGGTTTAAGACACCCTGTGATTATTCTGCATGTTTCATTCAATGCTATGTTCACCTGCTTTGCATGGGCAGACTTATGCCAAACAGGGCAGGTATACTCAGCAGTTGAGTACGACAAGGCAAGGGCTCATGTTCTTATTAATTTTGGGTCTGCACCCCATGTGCTGCCAGTAAGTTTCCACAGGATGTTATTGCATGCAGCTACTTTGTGCTTGGTGTTCAAGCAGTGTTTCCTATATGCTAGTGTTCGATCTAAGGTGACACCGAGATATTTAGGATGGAAACAATGTTCAAGCTCTTGACCTTCCCAGGTGACTTTCAATTTCCTGTTGGCTTCACAGTTATGTTGGTGGAAAGCACGTACTTGTGTATTGGCGGATGGTAATTATGCATTACAGAGATGCCGCATCGCTCCTTCGGGAGCGCTGTTTGCGCAAGAGAGACTTAGCTAATGTAAGCCAGGCCGGAGACAGATAATATAGAAGGAATGTAAGAGTTCTTTAATGGTGAAACCCTAACCCTGAACCATACTGTAAGCCTAAGCCTAACTCCTTACCCTAACCCAAACCCTAAACCTTACCCTAACCCTAACCCTTATGCTAACCCAAACCCTAAACCTTAAATCTTACCCTAACCCTAAACCGTACCCTAACCGTAACCCTAACCCAAACCCAAACCCTAAACCTTGCCCTAACCCTTACCCTAAGCCTCCCCTCCTTTCTATCCTTCCTTCGCTCTCCCCGCTCTCACTCCACCCCCTCTCTTCCCTTATTCACAGCTGCCTTTGCAGCATCTCTGTAATGCTCAGAGCTTCCGGACCCAGCTATCATACTATCAGCGACTTAGCTAAATGTAAGCCAGGCCAGAGACAGATAATATAGAAGGAATGTAAGAGTTCTTTAATGGTGAAACCCTAACCCTTACCCTAACCCTAAACCGTACCCTAACCGTAACCCTAACTCAAACCCTAATCCTGAACCGTACCCTTACCCTAAGCATTCCCTTCTTTCTATCCTTCCTTCGCTCTCCCCGCTCTCACTCCACCCCCTCTCTTCCCTTATTCACAGCTGCCTTTGCAGCATCTCCATAACGCTCGGAGCTTCCAGACCCAGCTATCATACTATCGCCAACTTAGCTAATGTAAGCCAGGCCGGAGACAGATAATATAGAAGGAATGTAAGAGTTCTTTAATGGTGAAACCCTAACCCTTACCCTAACCCTGAACCGTACCGTAAGCCTAAGCCTAACCTCTTACCCAAACCCTAACCTTTACCCTAACCCAAACCCTAAACCTTGCCCTAACCCTTACCCTAAGTGTCCCCTCCTTTCTATCCTTCCTTCGCTCTCCCCACTCTCACTCCGCCCCCTCTCTTCCCTTATTCACAGATGCCTTTGTGGCATCTCCGTAATACTCAGAACTTCCGGACCCAGCTATCGTACTATCACCCAACGAACTGCCCCCTTGAAAGGCATGCATTCCCAATGCTTCCAAGCGCTGGTTTGTGACTCTGGCAATCGGGCCTGGAATCCCTCTCTCCCTCCAGGGAAATCTAAAACCAGAAGCCAAGCTGAACGAGATAGGGAGGCTGAATACACTGTTACAGATGAGCAACCATCTACCTCACAAAATGAAAATGTCAGCCAAGAAATTCCCTTCAGTTTGAGCCAAAGCCATATGAGGCAGTTTGAAGCAGCTCAACGACGTGATGAAAGCTTAAAACCCTTATGGGATGAAGTGGTCCCAGAAAACCACACACCCACAAGTGAAAATCCAGTTATGTTGAAAGTTGTGGAGAATAAATTGTACCGAGTTGTGAGGAGACAGAAAGGTCCCAAATTCTTTGAGGAAAGAACACAACTGGTAGTTCCACAAAAGTATAGGGCTAAAATCCTCAAGCTAGCCCATGATACCACATTCAGTGGACACCTAGGTATCAGGAAAACCAAAGATCGCATACAGTCAAGATTTTTTTGGCCTGGAATGGGAGGTGATGTGACAGCCTATTGTAAATCCTGTGAGACTTGTCAAATGGTGGGAAAAGCCAAAGACAAGACAAAAGGACTGTTACAATCCATTCCAGTTGTCACTGTTCCCTTTGACAAGGTCGGAGTAGACAACATTGGCCCTATGTCCCACAAGACGCTTGATGGACATAGATTCATCTTGACTGCCGTGGACTTTGCCACGCGATACCCAGAGGCAATTCCATTGAAGGAAACGGACGCCAAAACAGTGGCAGACGCGCTGCTCAATGTATTTGCACGCGTGGGTTTTCCCAGATCTATCATCACAGATCTTGGAGCCACCTTCATGTCCCA